TCATTTAGCTATTAGAAATTATTTTTAAACATTATATGATGAGTATGCAGCTAGACATGGTGTAGCTAGCACAACAGTCTACCGCTTCGACGCCTTCGAGCACATGTCGAGGTAAAAGTATAAGTTTTGATAGGTATGCAAAGGTAGTTGAACTAACTGGTGGATCTGGACTTGGATCAGCATTAGAGGTTTCTGAAATAGATGAATATTTATCTGCATGCTTCCTTAGTTAAATGTTAAGGAAATACTTTAGATATTTTACAATGGTGGAGAGTATATGGATCAGTTTCATATCCTATACTTTTCACTATGGTTCGTGATTTACTAACAGTGCAGGTTTTGACGGTAGCTTCGGAATCCGCCTTCAGCGCAGCAGGACATTTGATCGACGACCACAGGACATGCTTAGATCTGTATACTGTATAAGTGGTGATGTGCTTTCAAGATTTGTGGAGGTACGAGAAGCGAACGCAAGGCATCGATCGGATGGCTGGAATTGAAGATAAATTTGAAGAGTTGGGACTAGCAAATAGGTATGAAGATTAGATAATATTCATCAAATTATAATTTTTATTTCTTAGCTTTAAATTTGTAATGAATTATTTCGAAAAAAGTTACAAATGATAGTGATATAGGTGAGTAGATGCAACCTAGTTGGGATGTACTCATCTATTGTGATGCGACGAATTCCGAAATAAATTTATACTTGTAAAGGATTTACTGATTATTAATAAAGAATTTATTTTTATCATGTTTCATTTTTATAATTTTTTATACTTGTAATTTATGTCATTTCAAGTTATTAAAAAATTTATGTTATTTTCTGTAATTTTTATGTATATTTTATGATTTATGGGGATTTTTAAAAAATTAAAAAAAAGGGTCGACCCGGAGCCCGGCCCGCTCAGGCCCGGGCCCGGGTCCGGGCTTCGGTTTTGCCCGGCCCGGGTCAGGCCGGATGGACAACCCCTATATAAAACTTTATGGATTTGAAATTCTCCATGAGATTACAAACTTAAAATTTTGGCATCTGAACCAAACAATCACTTAATGAATCCCTACAAAATTATTTTCTCCCTCTCTTTTGATTTGGACACTGGTCAATACTTAATAGTCAATGGTCATTGATAACGTCGTATTTGAAGGGCATGACTAAGGGACAAATTAACTTCATATAAATTAACTTCATATGGGTGCTTTCTAAAAGAGTCAAATATGAAAATTTAATGTACTACTTATAAACAGCTCACTAACTCGATTGGATCATCTTTAGATTTCACATCAGTTGTTTTATTATTTGGTCTCTAAACGACTAAGCGACATTAATAAAACTTCGTTTTGTCCAGCTTGAAACTGATAGCGCAATGATTTGAAAATTTGACGTTGGACCATGTCGTCAATAATTTGATAGTGCAGTACGTGCCATTCGCCCAGTATGAAAGGAAGCCCATGATGAGCATTCCCTCTCGGGCCAGCAAAGTATTTAGCAAATAGTCCAACAAGGAAATATTGCAGCACACAAAGAGAATATTCATGTAAAAACTACTAATTTCCTATTTTGCCCTTTTAAATTTTAATAATTCATAATTATATAATTAGTTATAATTAATCCTTAAATAATTATCTATAACTCTTTATTAAATGCACCTCCTACCCTCCCCAAGAATATTTGGTCAAGAATATAATCATTATCAATAGTTTATAATCTAATACTACATACAAATGGTTATGTCTATAATTAGAATTTTAGAATGTCAATGTTCACTTTTCGGACTACCTTTGCATGTCGGGGGGCTTGCGACCTACTCTTCTATCTAAGAAGTTGAAACGACTGTATTGGAGGGACATCAAACTTTGGAGGACCAGAGTTTTGTGAAAACCAGATAAGGTAGAATTAGAGAATGATGCACATTCATTCTTTATTGCTTTGGGTCTTTTGAGCACCCGCTGCTAATGAGTCTAAAATTTCAGCTCCAGACTATACATTTCTTCTCAATCGGTCACACAATAGTATAAGACAAAGTTAATCAAATAATTATAATAACAAGATGTAGAGTCTAGACTTTTAAACTTTAATTTGAATTAATGCATAAACTATGAACCAAATTAACTTACAAACAACTCTTATTATTTTTATATAACTTCTCTTTCATCTTTTGAGTGTAAACTAGCACATACATTTTCTTCCACTCACCATAATACCTACTAAGTCAAAATCACACAATTACGAAAGAAAAGCTCAACTAAAACTCCACTTGTATTAGAATAGGAAATTTAACAGAGCACAAGATGTCAACTTCTTTCGAGAATCAAATTTGCTCAAGTATGTGTTAGCATGATATGTTCCTCTATAATTCAATTAGAATTTTGAAAATATGTTTCGAAACTTGATTATTGTAGAAATGAATTAATTTGGTACGATTTAAATTGGTACAATCAATTTGGTGATTAGTTTTCTTTTTGAAGACATCGGGATCACTCGAATTTCAAAAAGTATTATAAAAAGACTAAAACGAATAAATGTATCTTAAAATCTAATTGAATTAGATATTTTTAAAATTCAACCCCCTAAACGTATTTCACGGTGTAATTTGAAAACACATTGTATCAAAGAAATCTATGATGCTAATTTCTTGAAGTAGGGGCACAATTAGGAATGTATTAGGCTAATTGTATTATCCTTTTGATGTTACAGTAAAAAGTCCAAAATAAACTTTCTTACCATGATTCAGAAAAAAACGTCAAATAAATTCTACAACCAACATCATATTTACATGCATCCAAAATAAATGTTGTATTTTTATTATAAAGAAACCCTAATTACTAAAGTGATATATTCTTAAGCTTTGCTTTTTCCCTTCTAATTAATTACTCGTTTTTATATGTTACATTTTTTCATTTCTCTCTTCCTCTCCTTCCAACCATCCGACTTTCTATTTCTGAGAAATGAATTGCTTGGGATGACATTAAATATGAAATAGATTTCTATGGAAATGCTATCACAATGGTTCAGTGCCAAGTTGTGAACTAGAGATTAATAAAAGTCATATGAATAACATAATGAGTCTCTATTGTAATTGTCATAGAACTTTAACAAGTGACAAGTCCATTTGCATGATATATCTCCATCATTCAAACATGCCAAATTTAGGTTTAAGTTTAAGAAATTTATTTGGGAAAACTCTTATTAGTTAGAATTTCCTTAAATAGCTTAAACCTTAGTGTAAATTGAGAAAAAATATGTCTCACATCTCTAATGTTAGATCATCTTTTAATATTACTATTTGTTTACAAGTCTTGGATAAGAATCTACAACGTACTAGAACGCCCTTGTTGACGATCCTTTGAGTTATAATTTTTTCACTCTACTAATCCATGTTGGGTATCTGCTATTTAGTAAATTTGACCCTCTATGTCTGTATGTTTTGTTTCGGCTTCAAATGCTGATGATTAATAAAGACTTTGATAAGTTAATTAAATGTGAAACATGATGTGAATTGGTTCCTTTTTTTGTCTCATTACCCTATACATTTAAGTCCTTCCAGCTATTGGCCAATCTATCTAAGAGTTCTAGCACATAAATCTCTTATTACGTCTTTTATTTAGGTTTCATGAATATTGGTAAACTCTAAACCAGCTTAATTATATGAATATTGGTAAAATCTAAATCATCAATTCACTTCATTATTTTACGGTCCATATTTAAAATTTTTAATATTGAACTAGTATGCCCATGAGCACTTTAATTACTATGATTCAAAATAGCCCGAGCTCCCTGGTTACAAGGAAAAGCATCCCCAAGGGGACCTCTATAGAAAACTATGCAGGATAGAAGAGGAACACATATAGGTGGCTAGCATGAATTTTGATACATAGTTCGGTAGTGTCAAACTATTTCTTAGTGTTATAACTCGAAAAGCCTAATAAAATTTTGTAGTTCTCTTAATTAATAAAATGGACTAAAGCCCCCATTTACAAAGAAAAAAGATCACGGAAAATCACGGTTAAGTTTCTAAGTAGATGGCCAACAACAAATATTGTGCTCTACTTGTCTTAAAACAGCCGATGAATTGCTTATTGAATCACATATTACTTTTTCGTGCTCGTGAAAAACGGTTCGCTTTGTTAAATATAGTAGTTGATCCATACTGTTCTGCTTTATTTTAGTCCCACATCGCTTAGAGTTTGTTTGGTTGTTGTTGGTAAAATTGTGTATTTTATGATACAACTTAGAAAGTTGTTGTCCACCTCATCAATTTCACTTTTATACTTTTCTTTGTTTGTTTTTTATTCCATTGAAATCATAAATTGTTTGTTTGGTTTGTAAATATAACTTTAATTGTTTGTTTGGAAAGTGTAAAAAGTGGTCCATACTCAAATGATCATATTGGTTGGAATTATTTTTTATTACTTTTTCCTGACTTCAATGTCAGCTTTCTCCTAAAATCATGTCTTTTTTTTATGAAATTACTTTACAAGTCACATCAGTATATGAAATCATTTTACACTATTTTCACAACTACAAACAAACAATTGAAAGTAATAAAAGCTGACATTGGGACCTATTTTTTTACCCTTTTCATCTTTTTACATGTTAAAAACATATAACCGACAGCCTCTTAGGAATCTAGAACCTCTCTCCTTAATATTATATTTAAACACTTCAATGGAGTGAATATAATATAATATAATCAATTTTTCTCAAATCTTTCCATACTTATGATGGTAGCCACCAGCAATAGAACCAACTCCATTACCACCGCTGCTGCCCCTGCCGGCAGAGCTGCGCCGTGGATCCTGTGCCCTTGCGACAGCGGCACCGCCGGCGAGACCTCAACCATTACCCCAGCCGATTGTTGGACACCACAGACCTAGGCCTCTGTCGCTCGCCGCGCGCACAACTTGCCCAGCACAATGCACACCATGTGTTGGGCGAAATCCCCTAACCAAACATGACCGCACCTGACCCTCATCACAAACCCTA